ATTTTAGTTGTATGACATGTATTTTCTTCTATGTACATAGCTCCTAAGCTTTCTTAGAATGGGCTGGAGATTTGAGATTGCATTTTGGTCTTTTGCATTGTCATTTTCCTATATTTTCCTGTTTCAAGTGTTGTTCCAGGGCTTCCCATGGGACTCTGGCTGCCCAGTTCCCAAGATTGAGAGAGGGTAACTGGGGGTGGCGCAGGCAGGCTGAAAACCTGCAGGAGCTGGAGTTGGTCAAGTGTGGCGGGAAGCTGTGCAGTTCCTTGACCACTGGGAGTGATGACATTAAACTCCCAGGGCTTGGGATGGTGCATAGACACTCACCTCTGGCCGCCTAGTTCCCTGGACTGAGAGAGGGTCACTGAGGGTGGTGTGGGCAGGCCCAAGACCTGAAGAGCCAGTTGAGTGTGGCGGGAAGCTGTGCAGTTCCTTGACCACTGGGAGCAGTGATCTTAAACTCCCAGGGCTTGGGATGGTGCACAGACACTCACCTCTGGCTACCCAGTACCCTGGATTGAGCAAGAAATTCATTTAAATAATATTGCATTAAATGAAGAAAATGATTCAAACAAAAAGCTGTCAGACTTCCAGGTTTACAGATATAATGATGGACTTGATACTATCTAAAGAAAAAAATCTGATTTATTTTATTCAGTAATTTTATGTAAATGTGACACTTTAAGTATATGACATAACTAATTTTTGGAGTGAACATATATTTTCCAAAGAACCACTGCCTTGATGTGTTTAATATATGTAAATTAGTCATTAATGCTTCCTCTAAAATATTTCAGAAGTTTTCATATTTTTCTATCACTCTATATCTTCTCATTTTAAAAAGAAGTTTAAGGAACTGACATTTAAACCTACTAATAAAAAATAGCATGTTATATTCAAAAATAAAAAAAGAACCACATTTACAATAAATTTTATTTTCCTGAAGATTCCCCCAATGGAGTACAAAATTCTTATAATTTTCAGAACAAATCTGTTTAAATCAATTTTAGTATGTACAAAAAGATAATGTGTAGAATTCATTTGTCTATGATTTGTGATGATCTTTTTAAACATTAAATATAAAGAGATGTTCAATAAAGAGATTTACATATGTAAAAGTTATTGGCTTTACCCAGTTACAGCAAGATCAGAAATTATAAATATTGTTAACTCCTAGATTTTCTTAACTTATAGAATGCAATATATAATGTTATCCAGAAAACTTCAAATTTCATATAAGCTATTCAAAGCTTAATGTTGGTGCCTCATCATACATTTTCTATATGTATACTTAAAAATTAACTAGCAGCAAGGGGAAACATTTTATTTCTTTTCCTTTTGCAAATTAGCAAGAAAGATAAAATATTTTAAATTTTTTCCTGCATATCACTTCCAAAGGGAATATTTCAAGGAAGTCCACATTATTCTATTTGGAGGATGTGAAGACATGTCTGTATTCACTCAGGAAAATCTTGAAAACCAATAGAATATCAATATCCTTATTATCAAATGTGTTGCAGATATCCAGGATCAATAAAAATCATGAATTTATTCAGGAAAGGAAAAGTTTAATGCAGGGCCATTGTTTCTCAACAATCGAATTTCATAAACTTCATGAAAGATACTCAGCTTTCTCCAATGCAGTATAATTTGTTGTATTCTAGCAGCAAGTCTTTTAAAATGAGGCACAAAGAAGGAAAGTTTCACACTCATTAAACTAGCTCAATACTTACAGTCCAAAATGACATTTATTTGTGATCAACTTAGACTGATTTCTATAAATAATAACTTAAAACAAAATATTTGATGGGCTCAATATGTAATGAATATATAATCTTTAAAGTGAATGTATATGTGTTTCATGAAAACTAAATATTATCTAACTGCTATCAAAACTAGAAAAGTAAGAAATAATAGAATAAAATACAGTGCAAAGTATTTATTTTTCATGTGCTTAATCAAATTAATTATTTTAATACATGATTACATATGGACCAAAATGAAAAATGCAGTATACTTTCACAGAGAACTAAAATCACAAAAATAGATTCATGGTTGATGCACAGGGTACTTTTCCTAGTTTTGTTATTTAGAAGAGCACAATTTGATGGGTGTCCTCAAAAAATATAAATTTGAACTAAAGCAGAAAAAAATTCCAGTTTTTTAAAAAATTACTTTGCCAAGAATAAGTTAGAATAATATATAGAAATTCTAGCCTTCCCTAACTTTATTAATCCCACAATAATTATGATTAATATAGGTGCATCAGTGGGTAAACTGCTTAGAACATTGACTAAAAAGGAATGAGCTCTCAGAACAGTTTCAATTCAAGAAGTAAAGATTGAATCTTAGAAATGAATATAGATTACATTTGCAAATTATTGCTCAGATATTTAATTTTAACAAGAAAAAGAACATAAACTTTATTACATTCCTAAGGCATGCAACTACTAGAATCCCAGATAATAATTTTTAAAAGAGCTTTTGCAAACCTTTGAGACATCTGGAATTCAAAGAAAGTTCTTTCTTATCTTACTAAGCAGAATCACAAGATCTTTCTGAACTTAATGGCTGAGAACTGTTAATACATTAGAACAATGTATTCATATGGAAAGAATATTACTAATCATATGTATAACTCAAGCACAACTCTAACATTTGTTATCCATCTATTGAAAGAGCTATTCGATTGACTGAGTTCACTGCAAGTTTTACAGGAACCACATTTGTGATTGGATCTATCAATAAATTAAATGCTTTAAACTAAAAATTTATCTGAATTTCTCAAAATATTCTTTCATATGATCTGGGAACTACACACACACACAAAGATAAGACCTTACTAAACATTCTTTGGGACTATCACTATATATTGAAATGTGTTTTATTGGCAATATTAGGTGATGTTATGTGTTAAATACAGTACTGATGGATCTGAGATAAAGTACAAATTATCATTATAAATTGTTGTTTATATAAAAAATGCAACTTTAAAAATTCAACTAAAGAAGAGACAAAGTGATCTAAATATGTTCCTTCATAAGAACTCTAATAATAATGTTATAAATTTATAAGGAATAAATTTTGAATAATTTATTATGGTCAAAGGCCTTTCACATAAATATTCTCTATTTTAGTCATAATACTTATAGTAAGAGAAGCAAACTCATAAGTCCTTCTAATTTGTTCACTATTTTAGTATAGGAGAAAGGAAGCTGCTTCGTTGGATTTACTTAGCAATGCATTCAGTTTTCTCACGGCATCCATTCATTGAAGTTTCATCTCCCTTTTATCCTCTTAGAATTTCATGAAGATGTGAAGGAAAATGTTGATATCTTTAACCAACTTTTGAAAGGAAAGTTCTATCAATATTAAATATTTTATTAAGCATGACTTTCATTTTAAAACACAATTTTTAAAATAATTATTTAATAATTTATCCTGCTTACATGGCACAAGTAGTTTGGTACAGAGCCCACAGTTCCCAAACACACAGATGTTAAGAATGAACTGCAGCCGTCACCAGCTTCAGCTTTCTCCGTCTGTACCCTCACAGGTAAGCAGCAGGAAAGCAACAGGTCCCCATGGGCCTCACTGATAAAGAGTAGTATGGTAACTGGGCTGCAGTAGGGGCGCTCAGGATTCCCTTGAAATTCTAATGATTTTAACAGAAGGAAAATATGTAAATGCATATAGGAGTGTAAGAAGACTAGGAACAATAATAACCTCTTTAGTATTAATGTGTCCTCAGATTTTAAACAAAGTAACGAACATGCCTTTGATTCATAGACCCGTGTCAGAGGGCATTAAGCCTAGAACGTTGATGCAGATGCTAGTAGATGTGAGCAAAAGGTGACTTAAGCCATTTCCTGTCCCCCTGACTGGCAGGTTGACAGCCATGACCAAGTGTATTATTTGTAGAGCTTTGGTGCTGTTCTGAAATTCATGATAACATGATGGCAAAGTTTAGTTTTCTAAAACAGGAATATAGACACACTCTCTCTCTCTGTCTCTCTGTGTCTGTCTCTCTCTCTGTCTCTCCTTCCCTCCTTCTCTCCTCTCCATATATATTTATATTTTTAGAAATATATCATCTTGCTAAATATATTTTCCAATAAAAAAGAGTAAAATAGCAGCTTCTGTGTTATTTTTCAAATGAATAATACTCTTTTTAAAGAACAGTGTTAGAGCTATGACTCAAAGGAGCTTATATACTCAAACGTGAGCTAAATTTGAAATAGAGGAATCCCTGAAACGATTTCTTGAGGTTATGCTGATGCTATTAAAAATAATGGAAATTTTAAAATTATTAAAGTTATATTATTTTCAATTTCATAAAAAAATAGGAACATGAATAGCAGAACAGAGCAAAACAGCACTACCTCAGCGTGTTATCGTAGCTCATTAAACCACTCAACACTAAATTAATTTACATCTCTAATTTACTTATAAGAATGAGAGTTTAATTTTCCACTAAATTCTGTGAATGTGATATGTGTAATTTTTAAGGCCTACATCCACAGATACAGAACACATCTATATTAGCAGGTACAGAACCCAAGGTAAAATGTGTTAAAGTATTTGCAATATGATTTTGAAATGATCTATCTATATATGTACAAGTATTTGTCTATATTTTGAAATACCATAACTCTATGCCATTGTAAAACTCCATAAAATAAGTTATTTTTACTTTTATAAGTGATAGAGACCTATGTTAATAAAATAAAAGTGTGTCTTCTGAAAATTGGACGCAGTGATACATTCTTATCTTTAGTTCAGGTTTTTAAATGGCTTACAGAAAAGTGAGTAATCATAGCACTTCTGCTTCTACAACTTTAATCCTTCACCATGAGATGCCTTGTTTTTGTGCAACAAAAACAAACATGCCTTTTGATTTATCAAAATTTTGAGAAAATTGACCACATAAAATATATCAAAGTTGGAAAAATAATGGAAAATTCTGAAAGTCACTGAGAAACTGAGACATCAGAATGTCATTAGGCTAAAATAAGATTTTAATGAGTGAAACGAAAAATTCCAATTGTTTCTAAGCGTAACAATAACAGCAGCTTTTCTGGTAAATCTACTATAAACACTCATAAAAACAGTTGCCTTAAATGTAGTCACAATCCTTTCCCCAGGGTTCAGATGAATCTTCGGTTTTCCTACAGAAACTGTTATTTACAACTACGTTTACATATGTACATATTTATAACTGATAGACACTAAAGGAGCAGTGCAGAATTTAAAAATATTTTTAAAGTGTTTAATAACATATACCATAAAAAGCATTTTCCTTGCTTGCCTTCGGGCACTAATACTTCCATATACTAAGGCACACATATCTAGGCTATATCAAGGAGCTGTGCTCTATATAAATGTGTAAGAAAATAGGGTATCTTCTATTCCAATGTATGCATAGAGTGAACATTTTAAAACTACTTAGATAACAAAAAATATTCATGGAAAGGGAATTAAAGAAATGCATTTATTGGCTCAGGTAACAATTTTATTAAGGATTATGGATTATTTTTGTGAGGGAATTTTTAATGCCAAAACTGTCTTTACAGGAGACTTGGTTAATCAGATGCATTTGTGACCTTAGTATTAATACAATCATGCACAACACATAATATTTTCACACTTAAAGAAAATAGAAAAATTGAGAGGCAAAGGAAAACAATTTTTGTTAACATTTTGCTTTTTTCCATAAGATACTCTTTTTATTGATTTTGTGAACATACTTATTTTTGCACTATAATCAAATACTGTACAAAATTGCAAGAAATGCTACTATTTGACTACTTATGTTGCTACAAAAACATCATTAAGGTGCGTTTATTATTACAAGTTAACTAATAACTGCTAATGTACACGTCAATTAAAAGTATTTTAGGTTTGCCATAAAACTTTGAATCCAGGCAAGTATTTGTTAATTTTTACTAGCATATTTCAGGGACATAAGGAACATTTTTAAATATTAAAATAAAAACAAATTTTACTATTAATTCATAGTTGTATAAAATTGTGGCTTCTCATTTATTTGTGTGTGTGAATGTGTTTCAGTGTGTGTGCAAAGATTGTCCACAATCTGTTGGTGATGTTTGAAGTTCATGGTTTAAAAATGCTCATCTCTTACCAAAACCTTTTCTGGTATACAAAGCTGTTGTAAATTTGAGTCAGTGAAATTTAAAGTTGCAGTTTACAAAAGCAGATACATATTAATTCTTTTCTTAAAGAGCTGCTTTCAAATCAGAAAAATGTGCCAACTAACTACCCTTTCCTTTTTAATTAGTGGCTTCTGAGTCCTGATGAAAAGAAGCCTTAAGGCAGAATTTGCAGTAAACAGGAAAGAAGAGAATCTTATAAGTGCTCATCTGTAGTCTGGGACACCTATTAATTCTCAGCAATTGGAGTTTTTGGCACAATTTTCTAATCCAATATGAATGTTGCTCAACAGCAACCAAACTGGGTAATTTTTCAGTCTCCAGCACCAAAATGAAGAAAGAAAGAAAGAAGAAAGAAAGAAAGAAAGAAAGAAAGAAAGAAAGAAAGAAAGAAAGAAAGGAAGGAAGGAAAGGAGGAAAGGAAAGAAATAATTTAGCTGATAAATTTTAGTACAACACATACCTGGAAAGAGTAAGACACATTTACTCTTTATTTTTAATTTTAGGTAGCTTGAAGTGAATGAAGTAAGTCGCAGAATTTCAATTATTTTCAAATGAATTCTGAAGCTAAAAATATACTGACCATGACAGTCCAGTAGTTATTAAATTGTAGGCATAATTAACATCTTGTCAGGGTGACTCATAATTACTTGAGTTTGTCATGCTATAATATGTACAAGGCTATAGATATTCTACAGAGTAATTAAAAGCTGATTTTGAATCTCTAGTTTTTCTTTTTATGTACGTCAAGCTTCCAATTATAATAGCAGGGATTCTGAGCACTCATGAGGGGAAGTGATGTTGCAGATATGAGATTCTGCGGAGAATTTATCTTTACCGACATTATCTTCTATTATAATTAACCAACAGTAAAAAATACTCCAAAATCAAACATTCCATAAAGGATTATATAGAATCTCAAATTTCATTATTATTAGAAGAATAGGAAATAAATCAGGTCTTCTGAAAACCACTATAAACCATGTCCTTGGTAAATCTTTAAAAAAGGCAATGGCTCTTTTTAGTTTAGGGTGTTTCTGCTCACATTTCTGTAAATTAGCAAATGCATACCTCTGTGAAAGGTCTACTGATACGCTATATCACTATATACATACTGTACATACTGATTGACAAATTAGCAGTTATTAGTCAACTGTACATAGCAAAACAAACCAAGTTTAAGGTCACTAAATATCCCAAAGATAACCTATGTCTAGATTTAAGGACTGACCCCTAATACAGGCTCCCTGTTTAAATATGTAGCCCAGTAAACTAAATTAAATGTACCAAACAAAACTGGGAAAACTATTCTGGACATTCTATCAATTTTGCTAACACTGTTGAAGGTTTTCTTGGCTTCAGCTGGCTTGTTTTCCGGCTTCTTATTGGGTTCTGGCGTGGTGGCACTCTTGGAAATGGTGGAGAGGACTGGGTCTTTTGAAAGATTCGGGGCGTAATTGGCAACAGCCACTGCATAAGCATTATTCTGTATCATGACAGATGCTTTCTCTTTTTTCTGTTAAAAAACAGAAGAATTAATAAAGCATAGGTTGAACCTACTATCCATCATCTTCCAAACTCCAGTTCAAATTCTGAAAGAGTACTCTGATACTCCCATGCATTAGAAAGAAAGAAAATTGGAAAATAAACATGAAATTATTAAATCTTAAAACCATTAAAACATAAGGTGAAGAAATTCCCAGGGCAAAACCAATGGCACTGTTTACCTGGAGAATTATGCTTGTTGTTATCAACATAAAGAGTAACAAGAAATATAATTTTAATAAATAATACAACTACTTTTATTTTATGGCTCACTTAAATATTTGTTGAATTAATGAGTGAATTGTAGACATTTTTTTAACAAGAAGAATGATAAACTAACATGAATGATCCCAAATTTCTACTTGGTAGTAGGATTCCACTCCACCTCATATCAAAACTACAGTAAGGCTTTGCTTAGATAGTAAGAAATTGTAACTTTATATACATCATCAAGTGAAGAATACTCAAACTACCTAGAGGAAATGAAGTATAAACTCTCAGGTTTTTGTCTAAGTGATTCCCAGTCTGTTTCACTTTATAATCACCATTTGGTTGCCATCAGCTTCTGCCTGGATCATTATTATTTCTTGTCTGGACCAAATAATTCTGTTTGGTTCTTTTCTTGTTTGGCTTGAACATGTGCGGTCATTAGACACACTAGAGCCACAAGGATATTTTTAAGAAACACATTACATCATATCACTTTTACTCTTTAAACTTTTTAAATAGTATCTCATGGAAGTTACAATAAAAATGACATTTTTTTTACCATTGATTTCTTTTTTATATTATGTGCAAGATCTACTGAAATAACTAATTTTATGATAATTTCCATTGTTTGATGCCCTTGCCATTTATATAAGGTACCCAGCCTGGAATGCTTTCTTGTCATTTCATTTTTCACACAGCCTCTTCCTTCTCATATTTTAGTTTGGTTTAAAAGTTATTTGTTCAGAAAAGGCTACTCTAATTGCTACAACTCTTTATTAACCTTGGCTGCTCTTTAAAATATCCAAACTTTTCTCCAGTGTGGTAGTTTTTGAAAGGTGTAAATTCTTTCTTATTCATGTGATTGTTTGATTGATATCTTCTTTTTCTTTAGGTCCTAAACTTTTTGAAGGCTTGTACCACTTCTATATTAACAATTAGTATAAGTCCTTCCACAAAGCAGACACAGACGAGACTACTTAGTGAAACCTACTAATATGAATAATACTTATGAGTTTCAACCTAATAAGAGTCTACAGTTAGTTATCTAAATGCAAATAAAATTAAACCAACAATGAATTTTTAAAAATCGTGATTAGTGTAAAGTCACAGATTCACAAGACAACTTAGAAAAGAATTGCTTGCACTAGGTATTCTAATTACAAATACTCAAAATAAACAAAAAAGAAAGGATCTGAAAACAGGCTTGGATTCCGTATCTTTCACTGAAATAAGTTTATTCATTTCCTGTTTTCCCTACTGACAAGACATCCTTCCAGACCTGGCCGCAGGATAAAGCGATGAGGAAGTACCATTTGTTACTTTGTGCAACTATAAAATGTCTTTTCTTCATCATGGTGATATAGCTCTCCTCTGATGAATGGAGGAGGAGTGTGTGCCTGATTTAAAACAAGAAAAAGACAAACACAGATGCCTAACCCTGGAAAGTGTCAGATCGAGTGGTCAGCCCCAGGTGCCATCTCCACCTCACTACTGAGAAAGAGGTAAATATAACTTTAATCTTAGGTATAATTTCAGAAATGGGAGCTAGTGAAGATTTGAATCCTGACCAGCCCTGGCTACTAAATGACTGAAAAATCATTAAAATTAATGTGTCTGACTTCCAAACTTCTGTGGTTTAGTTGTTCTGTAGGACTTTTGTCACAGTAAGGTATTTTTACTAACATTCTTCCTGCACCTCCAACAAATACCCTTCAATTACACACCTTTATGTTAAGGTATAATACACATGTTTATGGAAGTAGAGCAGAGTAACTGGCTGAGCAGATATTCTGACAGGAAGCTACCGGGGCTACACAGCCTGAAGGGCTTCATCAGCAGGTACAACTCAAAGATTAGCGCCACCTATTGGCAGGCTAGTGGGTTATGTTTCATCTAACACTAGCTTCTATAAGAAACTGTATTAAAAATGGTTTCCAATATATATTTATAGGGTTTGTTGATTTAGATTAAAACATCATCTTATTCTGTTCATTTTTCAAAATGTGTCTTAAACAACTGAATATAACTGGAAACTTCAGAGAAGTGTCAACATTAAACAAAGCAATGGGTTTGGCTTCAGAGTGATCCCTGCAACTTGGAAACTATCCTTTGGGGAAGAGTAGCAATCAAAGTGCAGGTGCCATCTGTTGTATCTGCAGTCAATAAATCAGTGTTGGCACCTGGAACTTCTCATCAGTTCACTGAATGAAGGGCAGAGGATCCCTGCGGTGCCATATCTCCTGAACTCCTGGGCAACACACAGCAAAGCATTTCCGACTGAGAATCTAATAAAGTTTTTTTTTAAGCAGAAAATAATTCCCCTTAGTTACTTGAAAATAATAATGATTGATCTATATTAAAGCAAACTGTGTTCTTGTGTAAAGCTGTGTATATAGAACAAAGATGCTCTTGTATATTTATAACAAACTTCTAATGCTAAGCTTTTCTAAAGCAGTGTACCAGAAAAGTATTCACAATGTATTTACTGGTGTTCCCTGTAAGTCATGGTACTATTTAGTTACTCTATTCTATAATTTGACAAGTCATAGTGCTAGTAAAAGTACCAAAGAATTAAACCATTACTAGGAGACACTACCTTGACCCAGTAACTACTAACTTTCAAAAGAACTGAGCTGAGAGTTTTCCATGTTATTATGGAAAACTATTTGAACATAATGTGGGCTTTGGTTCAAGCAATCTTATCAGCCAAATGAATAAATAGACCACATGACTTTGACCTCTCTAAACTGTTTTTATTTTATTTACTGTAGCCCTTGCCTTATATTCAAATCCATTAAGAGAAATAGTACAAAGAATCCTATTATGTTAGCTATTCAAGAGTATTCACTGGCATGAGGTAATTTTTAATATTCTATAATTTTTATTTCTTTTGAGAATTAAAATAGTTCTAGCAGTTCTAATACCTAATTTACTACAGCAAATTTTGATCTAATGTGACAGGTATTTTGAAACACGTACATATACTATCTTGTACCACGCAGAGTGAAAGACTAGGAGAAAAAAAGCAAAACCAGATTGGGTTCCTAAAATGTTAACAATTAACATTAAAAGTTAAAAGTGCAGTTCACATGAAAAAGGCATATTGACAATGTTTTTTTCTATTGATTTTAAGCAAGTCATAGTTTTATATACCTAAAAATGGATAACTAATAAAGTATTTCTACAAAATCATTGTTTCAATTTATTTGATCATCTTCATGTAATAAAAATATATAAACTCTCCAGATATATACTCAACTTAAATGCTCAGTCACTTCCTGCCCAAATATGTACATTACCCTGGAGTTTCTAACCTGTAAATGATACCACAATTCAGCGAGGAGCTGGAAGTCAATCTCACATTGGTCCTCAAGTCAGATACATTTTTGTTTCTTCCCATTAGCAGCCTAGTACTGTGTCACACCTACTGAGATATCACTTTCTAATGTGCTCATTAAGCAGCCACCCCTTCCATGGCATCCTGGCACCTGACTTTATAGCATATACCTGCATTTTCTTCTCCTTTCACTTAATATGTTCACGAAGACACAAAATGTATTCTGTGTAACTCTTAGTAAGGGTACTGACAAAAAATAGACTCAAAAATAATTCCATAATGATAAATGAATTACAGTTGCTTCAATGGTTACTGTGGTAAGCAACTGTATATAGAAACTATGAAATATAACAAAAGATATTTCATAGAGTAGGATACATATGCTGTTAGAATGATAGAAAAATAATTCAATAGCTTGTTTGAAATTGTACTATGTAATTGTCCACCAAAACGTCAAATTTACCACCTAGAAATGTGAAAGACTGGAAACTAATATAAGAAATTTGACCTAAAAACAATGCCATGGGAGTTATTTTGCTTGTGGTTGGGAACTATATAAGCAAAATGGAGAGTAAGAAAGGAACTTATAAGCAAAATCACTAAATGATGTGTTTTTAAGATACTTTTGGGAGAGAAAGTAAATTATGCTGTTATATAATTTGTTGACATTTCAATTGTCAGTGAAATAGGATGAAAAGAGACTGTAACCCATATCAATTAGTTTTCTAGTTTTTAAATAATATTTTGTAAATTTCAGAATTTACAAAATGGTTTCAATTTATTATATTATTATAGTCATCCAATATACATTTAAAATGTCAAGCTGGACAACCACACTACAGAAATCAAAATGTCATAGACCATGGTGGGAAACCAACCGTGGTTTTGAGGGAGATAAAGTGCTTACTACTTGAACAAATAAAATTGACTAAAACACAGATATCTATAAGTGATTTCAACTGTGAGGTGAATGAAAACAACAATTACATGACTTTAAATTTGGAGATTTCAGAGATTTCCCCCTACAAAAAGGAAACAGGGATCTCATCAAACATTGAATATAACAAACTTTGGAGAAAATCCCAGATCTCCAAAATGAAAGCATATGCTCTTTCTACCACATCAGGTTGCCTTTTTGCAATCATCGTGGCTACTAGAAAGCCCACCTGCTTGTAAAACAACAACATGCTCCCTGACTGTGTAATGCTACTATTAATGTCTGCTAACCATCCTGACTAAGAAAAGTGATACTTACAGAAGATTGTTTGAAGGTTAAACAGTCCATCCACTTCTCTAAGTACTCTAAAGTCTTTCCTTGGGTTAAATTGGGCCATGAGAAAGCTATACACTTGAACCATATTAGTTTAGCTCCTTGAAGAATTGCCTTCAATGAGTTGTATTTTAATATAATGCCTTCAGCTTTTATTGAAGGGGACTACAAGAAACATCAATATGAAATCCATTACTGCCTTTATTGGCAAAAAATTTGACATCACTTGCTACAGCACCCAGCTTTCACTAGTATAAAATTCACATGGCATTTTGATTTAAAAGATCAGTGTCAGCACAATAAAAGCTTTTCACTAATATTCATTCTTTTATTAAAGAAAAATTACTTTCCCCCTCCTCATGTGTTATATTATCACCAAGTAGCTTTTCATTCGAAGCTCAACTACTATAGTTGTGGTCTGCAGTTAATGTGCTAGTCAAAAGGTGAACACATTTGAGTCTATTTCCTTATAATAATATCCTATTTCTATAATATTTAATTATAAATTAAGTTCATACATTTTTTTTGTAAACTCTTTGAAATTTTTTTGGAGCGTGGTTGGATATTTAAAATGCAAATTAAGTAAATATATAACACTGCAAATGGAGGTTTTCTACAAAGTAAGGAGCCACTCACAAAACAATGGCACATTCCAAAATTTGGATATATGTTGCTGTGTCTGGTTCTTAAGTAATCTATTATCCAAGTTTTTTTATGCTTTCCTTAGCCAGTTTAGATTTGTCTCGGATTTAGAAATAAAAGAATTAAAATGAATTAAAAATAAAATTTTAATCTACAGCTCAAATAAGCTATGTTAGATACTCTGCTAGGTAACAGCAGATACAATGATTAATAAGATAAAGCTTTTATTCTCTTAGAGATTGTAACTTCGTGGTAGTCAAGAAGTTATTTATAATAAAACTAAAATTGAATGTGATGATCAAAAGGAATTTGTGCCCATTTCTGTGGAAATACAATGTGGGAGTAAATTATGTCTTGAAATTATTGAATGTAAATAAAGTCACATAGATATTAAAATATAAGTAGAAGTTTGCTATTTAAGAAAGGAAATACAATATTATTGTAATAGAAATCAGCATGTCTAATGTCATGGAGATAAAAATAGGAGTGCTTCAGGAAATAATTGTAGCTTGTTATATTTAGCAGAAACTATTAGGTGTCTTCAATATATGTGTACTGCTTATTGAATGTTTTTGATAAAGTTATTATACTTGATAATTCCTCAACTCTAAAGTACAAATATTCCGAGGTATGGAGGTAAGTACATAATAAATTTAAAATGATATCTTCACTATCCATCCTGTAAATAAGTATATGAGAAAACTACATAGTGCCCCACATTAGCTTAGCTTTTTGAAAAACTGCCTTCAATAACTGACTGAAGAGTAGCCTGAAGCAGATGTGCATGCCTGAAATTCCAGCACTCAGGAGGATGAGGCAGAAGAATCACTGCAGGATCAAGACCGGTCTGGCTCCAAAATGAGTTCAAGGGCAGTCTGAACTGCATAGTAAAACCCTATCTCAAAAAGACAAAAAAGAAAAGAACAATAATTCACTGAAGAACTATGTCTCAAATGATTCGTGTTTTAAAAGGTTAACTATGGGAGCATTACAGAAAATAGATTAGAAGAAGAAGATGTGATTGGAGATAAGAAGTACTTAAGTTATAAAAATAACAAGAGATCATGAAGACTTGATGTAAGGCTTGTAAGAAGGAGATGAGTGAGATTTAATGTTAGACTTTGAGAAATATTTCCAAAATGATGACACGTGAGATTATGTCATGCTTCTCACTCAAGCACAGATTGCTGATGAAGTTTTTAGACACTGGTAGGGTGAAGTTATAAAATCAAATGAAAATCATTTTGTGTATCTGTTATTTCTTCTGTCATTTCTTTTAAAAGATATGTACAGATTAAGGTGTGGTAATTAGATGGAATTTTCTAAGGAAGAGGTTACATAGCATGATCCTAAAATTTATAAGAAAGTTATATGTCTAGTTATAGATGATCCTGGATATTAAAACAAAAATGTGGGTTATAAATTTTGATGTGGCAATACTTCACCCCTTTATATAATATTCATTGTGCACTTAAAATAGGCAAATCACTGTGAAAAGGTTCTGTAGAACAATGATACAATAAGATAAACATGATTATCATTTTCATGATGCATGAAGGAGTTGAGACACAGTGATGTAATCAGAGACAAAAAATCTATTGCAAGAGAGTAGGGTAGGCCAGGATATTTAAGTATATTGGAGATTTAATTATTTTGAGGTATCTGGTATTCAGAAATTTTCCAAAGACATGATATTTGAGTTGAGAATGAGTAGCTATATTCTGGACGGCAAATGATGGACCCTGTGTTTAGTGTTGTAGATTTTCTTGCAAATACTGTCAGTAAGCCATATAAATTGAAAACCACAGAGTGAAACAAAAACAAAAACAGCATTAAGGAAAAATGAAATGACTGTCTCTGGAAAAATATGAGCATAATGCTAGAGAAACAGAATCAATTCGGAACTCTGGAAAAGAATCTCAAGCATAGAAAGAATCTTAGCACCTGTTAGGATGGGAGAGGAGGAAGTTGTTGGGGCCTGATTCAAAGAAAAGAGAAAAAGTGGCTGATCTTAATGTTAAATTAAGGAGCATAACAGCTAAAAGTTTCAGTGAAAATTCTTTAAGAAAAATGGAAAATCATTATCTGGTCTTAAAACATGAAGGTTATTGGTTCACGTCAATTACAGGACAGTAAAAGGAAAGAAAATTCAACAATAAGCTGAAAATTGAACTTAAAGTGAGAAGATAACACTTTAAACAATTCTTTTCAATTGGTTAAATGGAGAAAAAGAGATAAAACCTGATGATGGCAGAAGGAAACGATGTAGGATCTGGAAAGTAATTTTGCTTTTTGGCCAATTAAGAATATTAAGAATCTGTACAGGTTAAAAAGAAGGAGACAGTTTAAAAGGAAAAGATGGCTTTGAAGATATAAGAGAAGAAAATAGTATTTGATAGAATAATTTTTATGAAAGTAAGAGAAGAAAAGAATTTTAAGCGAGGGTGGAAGAGATAGCCTTGGGCTAGGAAAGAACACTGGGAATGAAGGAAGGTTCCAGAAGTACTCACGGGTTGTATAGACAGTTTTTTTTTTGTGTGGAAGGGTATTAAAAACTTGGAATTGAGTCATTCGATCCAGCACTACATTTTTAGAATACTAATTCTGTTGTCCAATTTCACAACTGAGACTAAATTTACAATAAGTCTCTGTCCCAGGTCAGAACAAAAAGTAAACTTTTCTTTTAATCTAGGACTCAAAAGTAGTTTGAACACAAATGAATGGATTTTGAAATTTATTTGTAAAAATTAACTTTAAATATCATCAAAGTACAATCTGCAGATAAACTGTAAACTGTGGAATCCACCTACAATATGTTGAATACTTATTTCTAAATATACAATATCAATATGCATCTCTGAGTAATTATTCTTACTATACAAATAAATGACATTTTATGAGTTTTTAAACAAATGTCATGTATTCTGTATTGGCCGAAAACTCAACTGCATCTAGATTGTATTAGCTTCAAAAGAAAGGATTTGTTATAGACAGAATGGTATAAAAGGACACAGAAAAGCCCCATCAACAAAAATTCTATATTTCAAGAAAATTATTATTTTTTACTAAACCCAAGAAAAAATAATTATAAGTAGCAGGTGTCACTGAAATATCCTTTAAGCTGATAGGCTACTTTATGGCACTTTCTTATATTTCCTTTTAGTTCTACAGATCTTTTATTTTAAGAATGTTTATTCTAAGCTATGTGCTCAGCGACATTAGCTACAGAAAAGTTAAGGGGAATGGGTATCATTACTGATACAATGTTTTATTTAGCTCTACAGTGGAACTAAAATACCCTAAACAATGTTAGGTGCTGTCCTAAAAATTAGAATGGAGCATCATTGTCTTCGACATGGATTTACTTTAGCAACTTATGATTTCACTCTTGGAAAAAATTAAATACAGTATTTGTCAGTACAAAGTTCTTGCTCTTAACACACATTATTAAAAATTTGATTTTTTGCATTTATAGATATCTTTGTCAAATTCAAGGGTTGAAATAGCATATCATTCAATAGCCCGAGTCACAATGACAATGTGTAATTGGTGCCACCTAGCCCTGAAAATTATATATCAAAAAGACTTTTATATGAACATTTACACCAAAAAACAGTTTAAGTTATCAATTGTTACATATTCAAAATAGTATAAAATATGTGGATAACCATTATAGCTTAAAAATAACTGCATAGATAAAACAAAAATTTGTACACTAAATGGGAAATTAAAAACATAAATCAGTCATACAATGTCATGGAAATAGCTAAATAGTTAAATAGAAATTAAGCACTGATCAGATTCTTTCTGGTATTTATTTGTTGTCTTAGGTGAGACATAATTTAAAAATGAAATACACCATCCCTTTCTTTAAACTTTCTATAGTTTGTGCAATTAAGGAAAGAGAGGAGATCTTCAAAATATAATATTCACTGTTTTGTGGTTAAACTGCAACATGATCATAGAAGTGAACAGTTACATATAAACAAGAAAAATCATATCAACAAGTTACTCTTAATGTAATAAAAATTAAGTAGGAAAGTTGTAAGATGGTGTCTCTAAGCAGAAGTCTGCATTATGATTAAGAATATTGTGGATCTCATTTTGATATATCCAAAGTTTTCTGCTAAGGAAGACACTGATTTGCAGAAAAAGCATAAGACTACTGCTATGTCAATGGGCAAAGTTCTCACCAGGTTCAGGACTTGAACTCTTACAATGGACATCAAAATTTTTATTCACTTTTCTATTCATACTACTTGAACAATTTAAAATTCCTAGGTATGCTAGTACCTATATATTTATTGCATATGAAAATGCAATCTGGGCTTTTACAAACAAGCAGCAGGAGCAGGGCCAGGTGAAGAGTACTCAACAATAGATGGAGCATGGTATTATGTAATAAGTGGAGACAATGCCCAGTTTCTTTTCACAATCTATCATAATGCAGTCTGGTAGTTTAAGAATATAAAGTTAATAACAGTGAACTTGAGCTTGTAAATAACTTTACTCAGCTTCAGATTCTTCATCAGTAAAAATTGAGAGTAAGAAGTAGTCCTAGTGATAAGGTTACTGTAAAAACTACTTGGGGGAGTACTATTCAGCTATAAAAAAAGATCACATTGAGGCTTTTGTAGGTAAATGGATGCAACTTGAGACCATACCCATAAGTGAAATAAATCAAACTTGCATGTGTAAATACAGTATTGTCTCCCTGGTATAAGAAACTGAAAGAGAATATAAAATCCAAAATCTTCAATAAATTTTGTGAAAGGGTAAGAAACTGCTCAAAAGAGAAAAATAACTCAGATAGGAAAAGAAGAAAAGAAAGAAGGGGAAAGAAAAAAGATATACATTTAAGATAGCTAAGATGATTGTACTACTAATTCTATTAGTTCTTGGAAAAAACAGCTAACATAGGATTAGATCAATTCTGCATATCTATAGTGGTAATCTGAGTAACTCTTTTGAAGATAACTATGCAAAATTAACAACCTGTGTTAAGTTCCTACCACTTTGTCATTGTTTGGGGATTTTTTTGTTATCCTTGTTTATTTGTTGCTTTTGTTTCTTGTTTTTCTTGTTTTGTTTTGTTTTTCCCTCTTTAAAACAAAAGACACTATTTGAGTGATCACATGAAGCACAACAGACACTGAAAAGTGGCTTCAGCAAGTATTGCTACTATAATCACTCCTAAGGGATTTCAAGAAAGAACACACTTTAAAAAACTAACAGAACACTTGCTCCTATACATCTATATGCATTTTCATGACGTCAGACTTTAGCAACACGTATTCTGTAAGTTGGAGGTCCCAGGGATTTCATTAACTAAGATGAGAAGGGCATTTTCACTCACCTTGTCATTCACTACACTTTTCCCATCCCACGCCCATCCTCTTTTGGTGAAGTAATTAACAGTTGCAAATTCAATTAGGGCAGAGAACACAAATGCATAACAAACAGCAATAAACCAATCCATGGCAGTGGCATAAGCCACTTTAGGGAGAGAATTCCGAGCACTGATGCTTAGAGTTGTCATTGTTAGAACCGTGGTTACTCCTGAAAAAAAGAAAAGAAATTCGAACATCAACAGATGCCACAGGACAGAAATAAAGGTAGCTATTCCCTTTTTTCTTCTCTTTTCCTTTCTTTGTTCTCTCACCTTTTCACTTCCTTCCCTTCCTCTGTAGCTCCCTTTATGTCCCTCCCTCTCTCCCTTCCCACGTCCTTCCTCTCTTCATTCAAAGCTGCTTTCAGTGCTCCATTCACTTAAAAAATGGAAGGAGACAGTGCAAAGTTAATTGCTATAACTTGTTATCATATTTCTTTAAGTAATGACTCCGGAAATGCCTTCGGTTTTCAATTTTTATTCTGTATGAATCACTTCTCTATTTAAGTATTGTTGAGGTTTAAAAGACTGGTGAATCTGAAGTAGAATTACTTATGAGGAAAAGCACTTTAAATTGACTCATTGTTCAATAATATTAACTTTTAAAATTTTACACAAAATCTTATGTTAATTTGTTCATCATTTGCTTGTGTCATACTAAGCAATGAGCCATCCATCCACACCAGAAATCACAGTGGAACTGTGATTAAGAATTTCTTAATTAAGTGTGGCTATGTAACTCTGTGTTGTTCAGCCCCATGAGAGCATTTTTTTCATAATGCGGCTGGGAATCTGTAAGAATTAAAGAAATCCATTACACACAAAACTTTTTGTGCCGGGGCTCGAACTCACAATCTCACGTTTGCCAAGGAGGCACTTACACCACTGAGCCAAACCCCTGGCCCCCAAACAAAACTTTTAAAATATCAACCTATGATTTACAATTAGAAATAATCTAGCTTTTCTTGTCTCTGTCTCTGTCTCTGTCTCTCTCTCTCTCTCTCTCTCTCTCTCTCTCTCTCTCTCTCTCTCTCTCTCTGGTACTGGGAATCAAATGCACAAACTCATGCTTGCAACTATATCCTCAGCCTGAATATCACAAGTCTTAAGAAACAAGAAGTCCCTAACTCAGGGAGTAAATTACACTATCACCACCCCTCATGACTACAATCACATGTTTTATTAAAGTTGTAATAAAAGCTTAATTATGGATATGGCAGATGCATTAAACAATGAAATTGTTAAAGAATGTTCATTTATATCATGGAGGTTTTGGTGCTCCAGTTTTCACTTTTCCTTAGTAAAAAGCATCTTTTTTCTTATCTAAAACAGAATTAGTAATTCAAAATAATTACAGTTCTATTTGAGTATGAATGAAAGTATTTAGAATCTGATGGTAGTACAAACATAAGGTAGAAAAAATCTGGTTCACTTACTGCTGAAGCATTATTAAATAACACAAACAAATAAATTGGGTTTGTAGGAAACAATACGAAAAATGTTAGCCTAGTATTTATAATGATTCTACAGAATAAGTAGAATATGACATGTATACCTATATATAAATGTGTTCATAGGTAAATATATATATGGTTTAAGAAACAAAAATGATAACTTAGTGTAAGAAATAAAGTTCTTAATTTCACTTGCTGCTAGGAAACAAAAAGCAATATTTATTTTTTTTGGGGGGGTGGTTATCAGAGACCAAACATGACCGCATGCTTGCTGGTGTTGCTGAGCTAAATCCCTTGGCTCAGTGAATTGTTTGAAGAAATCACTCTCATGATCAAAATATCAACAAAACTTTGAAAGACTGGTACTGTCCTGATATTGACAATGTGAGACACTGGACTTCCTCTTTTTTTGTTTGTTTTGTTTTGTTTTCATTGTTGTTTGTTTTGGTTTGTTTTGCTTTTTTTTGTATAAGGATTAGAACTTATGACCTTGTGCTTGCCAGGCCAGTACTGTATCACTGAGCTATAACCTGGCACTAAACTTCCTCTTTGAATAATTACAAATTGGAATATTAGACAAGAAACGGATGCCTTATCCAAAATCTCTTACATTTAGTACTTGGTACACTTGGAGTTAATTTTTGCATGCAGTGTTGAGGCAGAGGTCTGAAGTTATTCTTTTGCTTGTGGATAGCCAGGTGTTCCAGCACAATTGATTGAAAAGTTTTATTATCCACTAACTGATTTTAGAATCTTTGTTGAAGTCCATTTGGCTATACTTATCTAGGTTTATTTCTGGAAACTAAATTTGATGCCATTGATCTAAATATCTACCTTTACACAAGTTTTGCTCTTTTTTTGATAATTGTAGCTTTATATTTTTTTGATAATTGTAGCTTTAGTTAAGTTTCAAAGTCAGTATGATTGAATCTTTTCTTATTCTTTAACACTGTTATTCTTTTCCAAGATTGATTTGGCTGTTCTCAGTTCCTGACATTTCTACACAATTTCATGACTAGATTGCACAAACTTAAAAAAACTGGAAATTATGTTTTATATTGAAACTGAATCTGCAGATTGTTTTGAGTGATGCAGCTATCTTAAATGTATTAAGTGTTTTGATCTTTAAATATGGGATATCCTTCCATTTATTTACAGACTTTTTGTTTCATTCAGCATCATTCTGTTGTTTTCAGTGTCTACAAGGGTTTTTTCTTTATCTCCTAAATTGAATTTACGTATAGGCATTTTTGTTTGCATGATAATATGAAGTAAAAAATTCTTCTCCAACTGTAGTTTGGTGATGTCCAAAGTATATTTTTTTGCATTCACTTTATATCTGGCAATTTGCTGATACTCTTTATCATCTCAATTTTCATGCACTTTAATAAGGGGATTTCTATACATAAAATCACATCATCTGCAAAGAGATTATTACTTTTCCACTTTATATACCTCTACTTTTTTCTTTCTTTCCTGATTTCCATGGCGTTCTCTCTTTGCCCTTAATTCTCACTATCAGTCTTTCTAAAGAAGCCAGCAATAGTCATGCCGCAGCCTGCATGTTAGGGAGTCTTGAAATTTCCTCTCCTAGATTAAATAGTCAGACACTCTTAATCTTAATCTCTTACAAAATCTCAGCACATGGACAGCATGTAGACAATCTTCCTGCCAATGTAATGCATTTGGTTTACTTTAAAATCTTTTATCTTAAAGTATTTTCTTGTTTTTCTTTATCTTAAAACATAGTTTCTTGAATTTAATCTTAAATTTTTCCCTGTTTTTTTCTTTTTTCAAATTAGCACATGAAAATATACATATTTATTGAGCAGCATGTGATGTTAGTGAAGCATGTAACACTTCGGTTTACTAATCTCCCTTGTGATTCATTACTCAAATTATAGCTATTTAGAAGTTCTTTTTAATTTCTAAATATTTGAAGATTTTCAAATTTTTTTTCCTTTTACTACTTTCTAATCTCATATTTTGGTTCAAGAACACATCTTTTGGTACTTAAGTATTTAAGTCATTGAGACTTATTTTGTGGCCTAAACCTTTGTCTTTCTGGAGAATGTTCCATGTACACTTGAGAAGAATGTGTATTCTGCCTTTGTTGGTGGAGTGTGTTAGTTTTTGTTAGTGTTTTACACTCTGTTTAAGTTTTCCGAGTCTTGCTGATTTGTCTAGTTCTATTGTTGAAAGAGGGACGTTGAACTCTTTATCTAATATTATTGGATTATTAATGTTTTATCTTATTTTTGTCAGTTTAGATTCATGTATTTTGATGCTTCTTTATTAGGTACAAATGTGTTTATAATTTTATATACTTAACAAATTGACTTTTCTATCATAATGTAATTCTTTCTTTACCCCTCCTATAGTATTTTACAATATTTTATGTTATGATGAAGATATTCTAGCTCTCTTTTGGTCATTGATGGTATGGAATATTTTTCCAGTGTTTTATTTTCAACTTACCTGTGTCTTTGTTGCTTTGAGCTCTCCATTTGAGCTAATTGATTCTATAAGTTTGTGTTTGTAGTTTGCAGCCACTGACACTCTGTGCTGTTAGCGCTATAGTGATACATGAAACTAAACAAGTCTAATCCTTGCCAAGTAGCTCCATGTGCAATTTGGGATAAGATTTCAGCATTTACCCAAGCAGTTTAAAATCAGTATTCACACTCAAGATCACCTAGAGCTGAGAACTGTAAGTGTTTCCTGTGCATAACCACAGGGACAATTGTAGACTTGTAGACAATAGAGTAAGGTCAGATCAGTGCTTTGAAAATTTTTTAGGTGCAACTCATTCCCTAGCCTTTCCTTTCAATGATTTGATAGTCCATTGCTTGCCACAAATAGCCACTGCCTAGGGCAGAACACGCTTCAACATTTTGTATAAATACCTCCATTCAATGCTCCCCAGGTTCTGACTTTCATGGCGCGGGAATTCTGAATAAGTCAAAATAAACACAAGCCTTTTTAGAGGGTCTTCCATGGAGCCACTGTACAGATCAAGCAATGGTGTTTTGAATGAAAACTGTTTCTCTTTATTCTGATACCAAGACAACAGGCTGTTATTGCTATCTCCATGGCTACCAGTTAGCAGGGGATGAGATACGAGACCAGGGTATATTTTATCCCACTCCCAGCTTATTTTTCTTGGCAAGATTCAGCCACTGTTTTTGAATATGCACCCAGTGTTGCTGTAAACTGTTGTCTAAAGTTCTAAAAAGTTAACTCAACGGTTTTTGCCAGTTTGTATAAGATTTTTATGAAAGGTTGGGATTTCAGAATTCTACACTCCACCATTTTTTCTGACAGTGCTTTTCCTAACGTTTAGGATGGGTATCAGACGCAGCATTTCTACTTCTGGATAGAATGGAAGCATGTGGAACACTGAGTTATGGCGTGGCTAAGTCCCCAGTGGTCCCACATTCAGATTGCCTAAGCTTGAATGCCATTATGATTTCGGTCAGGCTACATGACTGTTTTCCATTATTTCTCATCTAAAGAATAGAAACAAAAGTATTTATTTCAGAGCTGAAACTTGTAGCACCCTTAGAAACCTGACCCACTGTAAACACATGAGTATCATCTGCTCATTTTCACTTCACTACAACATTCTCAGAAATCTACCTTTCTGAAATAATACACAAGGCTCTTTATATGAACACTATACACTGTACAAAGTAAAAAGAGTGTCAAACTGTAAT